GTTTAGGTATACCCATCCCCTTTTTAACACCTATTGTCATTTGTCATACCTTCTGACTCATACATTTGTAGGTCTTCACAAGGGATGAGCAAACCATCTTTAACAACCTTATCTTGTTATCCCTATGTGTGCTGCTTGTCCTTCTATTGACCGTACTCATTATGATATTATCTAATATTGTATAATCGCATAATCATCCTAATATTTGCATTTGACACTCGTCTTGTGTCACTCTCATATAAAATTACTGGTCTTATCATTTTATAAAAGAGACTATCACTTAAATAGTTATCCTCCTATTGCATGATATTAATGTAGCGCTCTCCTATTTCAACTATCCTTTAGAACTATGTATTAAATCTATCTATCTTACCTTTTCCCTAAAACTGTGTCTAAATATTTGGAACCCAGAACATTTGATCATGGACTAAAATTTGGAGACTATCTTTTCAATACGTATCGCATTTGGGGTTAATATCATCAGTATACATACAACATAGTGCACCCAAGGGTGTGACCTATTGGTCAATGAATTGAGAGAAGAACCATGAGATCTCAGGTTCAAATTTCAGTGCACGCAAAAAATATTAGGTGGTTTCTTCTCATCTGCCTAAGCCTTAGTGGGCAGAGTTATCCATGGGAGATAGTAAGTACCCAGTGGAACAGTCGAGGTGTGTGCGAGCGGGCCCGGACACCACCTTCATAAAAAATTACATACAAGACAGTGCACATTCTTCTTTCTTCTTTATGGATACTTTCTGCCAATAAAATAAAGATGCTATTTTTTCTTCAATCGAACTCTTTCTTTTCCGGGCAAGAATGACCACTAATATATCTTCATTTGCAGTTTTAATGGAGTACCAGCAGAGGAGCGTCTGCATTGGAGGTCTTTCTTAGTTAAGCTGGGTGCGGAGAATCTTAAAGGGGTCAAGAATGAAGAACTCCTAGTGGCTTGCCACAAGTATGTAAATTTGTTATCTGGTTATTTGGTGGTCCACATTCCTGACCAATGTCAATAACATATAGCTAAAAACAGTTGTTGGTTGGAGATGTGGGGAGGGAGGGTGACACAGAGAGGAACTCTGTGCTGACAGGCAAGATGCTTGCTTCCCAAGCTTCCTCCTTTATATCTGTAGTGTTTGGAATTGAGTTCAGATCAATTAGCTGTGCTTCTGGAACTCACCCTCCTTTAGCTAAACCATAGCAAAAGATTCTTGTAGTAAAGGGTGGTTTACTAGTAATTAGGACTGTTTTAATGACAAATCTTCTATCTATAGTCTTTTGACATATTTTTCCTCTGCAGGTCTGTTTACATTGTATACACGGTACTTGGAGATGTCAGCATATATATTGTAGGAAAGGATGAGTATGATGAACTTGCCTGTAAGTCTGAGTCATTACCTTTAATGTTTCAACAAAAGATATGCATGGTACAGTTGTTTAAAGCCTCGTCAGCAATTAATTTATGCTAAAAGAAACTGCAAACTGTGTTGTCTTTGTCTCATTTATGTACAAACTTTATTTAGATATGCTAGTTATTCTGTCTCCACGTAGCTCAAAGTATGCTTTTGGCAATTGATTTTGGTAGTTGAGTTGAAAGAAAGCAAACCAGGTCTGACCTTAACTTACTTAGGGTTTGTTTGGTACAATAGATAAGTATAATAATTCGGGGATAAAATTTGGGATTGTATTAATTCCATCTTTGGTTATAGGTATTAACTAATCCCGGAATAAGTTTTATACTAAAATGGTGGGATTAGCTATCCATATAGAAGCAGTATTGTCAAAGCCGCGCTTAAAGTGCGCTTAAACCCTGAAGCGAGGCTCAAAACACATTGAGCGCTTCGCCTCGCTTTGTAGGCGCTTTAGTGTCACATCAAAGCTCTAAGGCATACTTTTTCTTGCCAATGAGTGTAATCATGAAAATGCGACCTTAAACAATTGATATTTTACTTTATAGTGAATGTTTTTTCAATTTCTTTGTCCATATATTTGTTATTCATGCTTATAATGATTATTGTTAGACTACATGCATATTTTTACTTTTTCTCCCGTTGCGCATTTTTTCATCAAAAACCACGCTTTATTTGCGCTTTGCGCTTAAAGCCCCAAGGGATCTTAGAGTTTTTTTGCGCTTTTCGCCTTTGATAACATTGTATAGAAGGTGGGATAGCTTATCCCATGGGATATCCCACCCCATCGGATATCCTGGTTTATCCCACCATTGTACCAAACGACCCCTAAGTACTTAAAGGTGTCACTTATCAGTCAATGAAAAGCGATGAAGGCCGTGGAAGGTCGTGTTCAAATTCATCAGAGACAAAAATTGAGTAGTTTCTTCCTATTTACCTATTTACCTAAGCCATGCATAGTTATGCAGGATTTGTGCTCGCGGGAGGTAGCAGATATCTGGTAGTTGAGGTGCACACAAGTTGGTCTGAACATCGCGTTTTAAAAAATAAATGAAAAAAAGGCTCAACTTGCTAAATAGTTTTATCCCAATAGTGTTTATCAATAGTTTTTCCTACCATTGTTTCGACTATCAAATATTGGAGTTACTCAACAAGAGTGTAAAGATAAATGATTGTATTTTCTTAATATCAAGTATTATGTGGTCAAAATTTAAAAGGAATCCTACCACTAGTGCAGCTTACTTTTAGGTTGAGTACGTAATTGCATTATGGTGTCCATCCAATATTAAGTCCTTCGATAATTTAGTGTAGATCACATAATTGAGCTGACTTTTCTTTTGAGGTGTTATGAACTCTAGAGGAGGAAGCCAACTACTAATGCTACCACATTAGGTTTGATGGAAAATTGCATTGCAGCTTCCATTTTGCGGACTACGAAAAAAGGCAATGTTATGGAAATTGCCATCAGTGAGGCTGTGTTGTCTTTCTTTAAGCTGCGTGGCTCTCGTCCTGCAGGGATTATCTGTAGTCGCAGAGGGTAGCTATTCCATTTATTGGGGGTGATTGTTCTACACTTATAGCATCATCAAAATTGTCCTTCCACTCTTTTTTATGGAATCTCATTGGCTTTATTTGCAGTGTCTGAAGCAATTTTTGTAATAACATCTGCTATCAAGGATGTTTGTGGAAAACCTCCAACAGAGAGATCCTTCCTGGACAAGTATGGAAAGATTTGCCTGGTTCTGGATGAAATTGTGTGGACGGTAAGCCAAAATGTTTTTGCGTTGGAACATAAATAATTTCACATACTTGAAGCTCTCATCTTCTCAAGTTTATGGTGTGATTCTATTTGGAGAGGCATAGAATGGTTATGAATACTCTTAAGCGTATTTCAAATTGTACCTATTTGATGCAAAACCACATGCTTTTTTATCCAGTGGCAGATGGCTTGCAAGATTTACTGCATCCATCAGGTCACACTGTTTATACCAGCTAGGGATTTTGCTAAATCATGCTTTAGGTTTACTCAAACTGATTGTCTCAATTGATGAATCCTTTCAGTCCAATATGATAGCAAAGAGAACCAAGTATTCGATTTGGCTGTTAGCTCAAACCGATTGTCTCAATTGATGAACCCTTTCAGTCCAATATGATAACAAAGAGAACCAAGTATTCAGTTTGGCTGTTAGCTCAATGTATGTTGTCATTCAGTTTGGTGCCGTCTGGCTAATGCTATTGTTTCACTGTTTTATTTTGAAGGGGTTGCTGGAAAACATTGACAAAGATAGAATCAAGAGACTTGTTAGGTTGAAACCACCAACAGAGTTCTGATGAAGATTTCCCCCCATCTCTTGTTTAGGCAAAGCTCCTGAATCAAGAGTATAGGTTTGATGCATGTTTTATATCTGCCTCTGACTTTTGGATAGTCTGTCAGCTATTTTATTTGCATTAACGCTTTAATATGGCTTATTTCTTGGCCTGATTAAGAAAATCATTCCACATGCTGCTTTCTAATTGTGGAGGACTATTTTTGTTTCACGAGTGGAGAAGGGATGGATTTCTTTTCCTTCTCTAAATCTTTTGACATGTTGGTTCTTTTTGGGATTGTATCCTTATAGTGCACTTTGAATTGAATGGAATATGGTTTTGGACCTCTGAATTGGGTATGTTCTTTACGATCCTTAAAGCTGTAAGATGAATTACGAACAGGAAAGGATATCTTTGTAGTCTAACTCTTGTGTGTAGCAACTAGCAAGTACTTGAAACAACAATAGTTCCTCTTTCTACACTTTTGTAGTTTTTGCCTAGGACCATATATGTTAATGTCTGATGGACCACGGTGAGGTGCCTAATACTGTCTGCTCTCGCCAGCCACCCCTAAGGCCCTAATAATATGCAGTTCCACACCAAAAGGCAATTGTAGAATACAAATGTATGGCCTTTTCAAGGAAAGATTGCTTGTTGGAGTTTACCACTGGCGACCCAGCCAAACCTCTGGGTCGTATTAATCAAGCTGGAACGATGTAGATTAGAAGGAATGCAAGCCACAACAATACCTTAGCCTTTGAAATTTGTTTGATCGCTAGCCTTTTGAATTTTTTTAATATACCACTCGATTGACCTATCAAGATTTTATTTCCTAACCTTACGTTTCCTCTTTAAATCTTTAAATCATGAAGCTGCTTGCCTATATGCTCATTGACATTTGACACTGGATGGTATGGCAACTTAGTCAAATAATCTTAGTTTCGTCCAATCAGAGATTTCTAAAAAATGATTAAACTGGAACATATTAGCTCATAATGCCTAGGGTGAATTCTAAACCAGGAAGTAAACTCAAGAAAGGGACTATTATGTATTTCTTTCTTCTTCTTTTTTCAAATGTATTTTGTATTTCTTCTCAATAGAAAATTTTATCTTAGAGGAAATTGGAGAAAGGGGTAAGATTAGAATTGACATAAGAAACTCGCAGGTCCAGCCACCAAACAAACCATCCCTATCAGATATCAAATCACATCATCGAACAATTTAATTTGATAGACTAAAATGTCCCTATACTTGGTCACTAAGATACATGGCGCCCACGAATAAATCCAATTCTGAGTCTATACTCTCGAGGATAATCCGATTCTTCCCTGTGCACTAGCTCTGCACGCCAACCACGTTTTTACCATTTTGTAATCCTTACCATCTGTTTCACCTAACGTTTCATCCCTTCATTTTCACCCTCACAAGTGGCGGAAGGACGAATATACCCCTTTCTTTGTTACCCCAACTGTACTCGTGTACTATTCCAAGTTCGCCACAAATTAGTAATCACCCATTGCTATTATATTCCAAAAAAAGTGGTTTAAATTCAGCAAAATAGAAAGTCCAAAACAGGGCTCTAGATATCACCAGCCATGATCAGAGGACCGGCGCTACTCTTTCTTCTCGTTATCACCGTCGCGTCCATCACTTACGGTGCTCAAGCATCAAGATCCATTGTGTTTTTGCCCCAGCCTTTATCATCCCTCGACATAATCAACACCACTTCGAACCAGGTACCTTTTATTCATTTCATCTTCTTTTTGTTTCATTTATCAAATGTTTGTGCAGAAAATAGACATTAGTCAATTAACCAACTATCCTTCACCCCAAAATTGTTGGCGTTAGCTATTCTGAAAAATATGGTAAAATACGAGTGCCCATTATTATGTCCGAACATCGATTAATAAACAGTTGGGTTTTAAAATTAATCTGAATATCATATGCGTAGAATGCCCGCTGTTCATTTACGGTGAGCATAAGGACAAGCTGCTCTTCTCCTGCACTCACCAGAGACCAAATTAGTCTATCCTTTGGTGATGCTTATGGAAATCAGGTAAACCACTTTTCGTATAGCTTTAAGCTCAATTTATTGAGTGTCAGGAAATAGTATTGTTTAATTTTACTGTTCGATTGTTCAAACTCCTTTTTTTCCAGGTTTATGCGCCGAGACTAGATGATCCGTCAAGCAGGGCTTTTGAGCGGTGTTCAAAGGATACATACACGGTATACGGTCCATGTACGTATCAGATCTGTTATGTGTACCTGTACAGGAGTGGATACGATGGGTGGATACCGTATGATGTTACTATCTACGGCTACCACACCAAAGCTGTCACCTTCACCTACAATGTTGGCATCCCTAGTGACACTTGGTACGGTCATAATTACTGTCGTTCTCGCGCTGTAAAATCTGCACAGAACTTGGGCTGGAGCTTGCTTTCTATTGGTTCCACTATGCTGTACACAATAGCTGGCCTGCTTCGTGGTTAGTTTTGGGCCTTCCTCTTTCTATCTAATTTGGGCCTGTCCACTTTGGAACACTTCGCTTGCCTGATTTATGTCTTGTAATAAACAAATGCTACTTAGGTATGGTTACTTTGCTCTATGACGTTGTAGAAAGCAAGACAGCTTTTGGATATTCGATATGAGTATAGGTTTAGCAAGATATGCTATCCTTTTAGAAGCATTAACTTGACTTCTTAACTTAGATGTGTACAATAAATTTGGTAGTCACAACAAAAGGCCTGATTGATCAAATCCTCCCAACATTATCTTCTAACAGCCAATCGACTTCCCAACTCGTGTAAATTGGCCAAAACACAAGTTGAATGGGTTAAGAGGGGCAATCCCATTTTCCACTGTGTTTCGAACAAAAACTAAGTTGCCTAAAGCACAAGTAGCTGGGATGTTATTGCTCTTTATACCAGTTGAATTGATATAGACTATGCACTAGTTCTAGTACCATCATACAACAACCGGAGGAAGCTGCAATTGTAAGAATGAGAAGTTGAAAAGGCAAACTTAGTATAAAGGAATGCATTCAACCGTATTATTTACTCTATTTCCTCACTAATTGTAATGGAAGTGTACTAATCTGAAATTTAAAGGGAGTACGCAGTAGAATTCAGCTGTTCCTCCAATTCTTATTGATCAATTTTATCTTCTTTCACTCCTTAGACATACTACAAATATAAGTAACTATTAGGACGATTATTATTGCTGTTTTTGGTTAAACCACAATATGGTTCAAGAGCTCCTGCAGTAGTGAGGCTCTGGTGTGCTAAAGAAGTTTTGTCATTTTAAGCAGGACTTCGATGGAAAGCAGTTTTGCTTGGTTCACATATTTTTCAGTTTTTCTAAGTAAGATGCCTTGATAGAGGAAACACGTCCTTACTAGAAACTGCGAATCGCTAAATTTAGAGTGCTTTTCGGAAAAGTTAACAATAAGGGATTGGGTGTACTAGATGTAACATGTTCAAAAGGACAAAGTTGACCCAACGAAACATTATTTCTAATAGAAGTATGACTTTACAAAAAGGCAGGGGATATTGGATGATAACAAATTAAAAGGATTGCAGAAGATCACGCTACCAACTCGCCATTTATAGTAATCAACTATTTAGATCTTATTTGAAAAGTATTTCATATCCGTGAGATTGAAGTAGCAAGAAAATCTAACACATCAAAAGTCCAAGATTGGCAATGGAAATAGTGTCCGAAGTGTACCTAGCTAGTAGGAGGCTGTGAAGTGAAGGAATGGCCAGGAATAAGGGATATCTATAGGAATTAAACCAAATTAAAGTGTGATCAATTTAAGAGATAATTCTTGTTTGATCTTTCATACCTCTCTAAATTGTCTTTCTAGTCAAAATCCCTCTGAAGTCAGATATCTGGTTTCTGTTAACGTTAGTTTGTCCTGGAGTATTATAAAAACGGATGGTACTAGCTAGTTTATTATGAGTACCAGACTAAAAAGTTAATGAAATCAAATACTACGCTTTTTTCGCCGGACTTTTCCAATATAGCTATTGTTGAATATCTTTTAAGCGGCAAAATTATACCGTTTCATTTACAAATTTTCAAGAGAAGTGACACAGAAGAAGATATGAAAGCCCTTAGTTGGATTTGATTGGGTGTACAAAGAAAACCGATAAACCACACTAAACCGATAATCCGAGTCAAATCGGAAAAAAAAAAACCGATGTGGTTTGGTTTGATTTGATTTGGTATTGGAAAATAAAACCCGACCATAATTGGTTTGGTTTGGTTTTAACTAAAAAAGGTCAAACCGAAACTAAACCAATCCGATAATACATTTATATAATTTTTAAAATATTTTATACATATAAATATTTATTGTAATATAATTTATAAATATTTCTTAAACTTTTTCACAGTTTTATCTTTTAACGTATTATTTCAACTTTAGACTTAACGTTCTTGAATAATAAATAAATTTTATAATCCATAAATGTAGTGACTCAAACAAAGTTCAAATCAATACTAATGCTAACAAAAGAAATTCAATTCAATACTAAAAATGACGATAGTGTTGGATAATTATTTTAGTTTTACATTGGTTTAAATGAAAATGCATAACTTACTTTATCTTTTTCTTTAATGCTTATTTATGTAATTAATATTAGTACTTATTAGCTTTACTTATTTTAGCATGACCTATATAGTATTTTTAGATTATGTTGATTTTCATTATGGCTTATTAATTAGCAATATTTGTTTTATGTAATTTTATTATTTTATCTTCGTTGNTGTTTTATGTAATTTTATTATTTTATCTTTGTTATTGAATATTTTAGTATAATACTATGACTTATCTCATATTATTGTATTAGTTTATTGGAAAACATATTATATAGTTGTATTTTAGTAGGACTTAAGAAATATTTGGAGCACAAGTTACATATTTTATGCTATGAAGATTTTTCCGGAAAAAAAAAACGAAAACCCGAAAATGAAAAACCTGACTTTGTTGGTTTGGTTTGGTTTATAAATTTAAAAACTTGACACCATTAATTTGGTTTGATAATTAAAAAATTCGAACCAACCCAACTTATGTACAGATTTGAACCGCAACAATTAGGCTGCAAATTCATTCTATTAGATAGGGTGACTTCTATCAAAACATATAATCATTATTTTTTGGTATTTATTGTACTAATTTTTATTTTTTTTTGGCAAGACACTGATATAACTTGAAGGTAAATTAAAGCTACTCGGAAATGAAAATCTTCAAGCATCTCATCATATCGCATTCAATTATCTGTTTTCGATTGAAGTGAAAGGAGGCTCCATCGTGCTTTGTGTTTTACATTCGAACTTGCCCATATAAAAAGTAAAATTTCTTAGACTTTATACAGTAAAATATATTTTCTTTTCTTTTGTGGACGTCTAAAGCAACTAAAAAGTACAAATATAATACTTGCGTAATTCGTAAATCAGCCAATTATGCGTTAAGTCAGCTATTATTTCTATTATTTGCTTCGATAGACGTGATAAGTGATAGATCCAAGAGGGTTATTAAGTCACTTGATCTAAACGAAAAAAATATTAGTCAAATCTATGGATTTGATTAAATGAGAAGCTGGAGAATTTACTCCAATATAATGATATTGGTAAATGGTGGCCGAATTATATATATATTTTGTTGATGCGAAAAAGGTTGTGAAACTTCAATCTTAAGTGTGGAGGGTATCGTGGCTTTTTAATCTTTCTATGCTTATTTATATAACTAGAAGATTTGCAGCACATTCTGATTATGCATGGTTCTTTTACTAGCTGGTACTACAATGGTGAGTTCAGTTTATATAACACAAAAGCGTTCTTGTTATTGTTTACCTTTGATTACTGAAAATCTTAACCGAAAACTAAAATCTAAAATTCCTTATTTGTGTTTGTCCATATATTTGATCACTAATTATTTCTTTTGTATTGAGTTGTTTCTATTTTTCGCACATAAATGATAATTTATAAAATTATATGCTACATTAGAGAATTAATTAAAAAATGTTTTTTTTGCCCGAGGGTCTAAACGGTGGTGAAGCCACACGGTCAAAAGGTGGTCAATTGACCACCATTCGTCGAAAAATTACATTGTATACATAGGTAAAATATTATAGTTTAGAGATATATAACACATATTTTACACTCTTTATCGTGGATTTTTAAAACAACTTTGAAAAATTTCTAGGTTCGGTACTAGGTCTAAAGCATTTGGGTCATGATGATGTGGTTTAATTTGCAGGTTTACTTGGGAATTTTCTTGGTTTTGTTGTGCATGTTTTCTCCTGTATGGAGTGCTGACGACATTAAAACTTTCAATGTCGTGAATTTTGGGGCAGTCGGAGACGGAAGAACGGATGATCTCCCAGTAAGTAAAAACCATTACTATTTCTTGAATTTTCTAGCATTCGAGCTTATATGTGCATTTACACCGATTTAGAGCAACTACAAGTACTCTTATATATTTCCTCGAATATGTGAGAATTTCTAAACATGGATGTATAATTTGAACTGTGGATATTATGCAGGCTTTCCTCAAGGCATGGGAAACTGTCTGTCAATCGGAGTCGAGTCGTGTAATTCTTGTTATACCAGAAAAAAAGAAATTCTTACTGACGCCTTCAACATTTGAGGGTCCTTGCAAACCCTCTTTTATCCATATTCAGGTCATTCCCTTCAGCCTTTTTGCTCAACATTATTAAGAAACAAACAAGCATATTTAACTAGGATTTATATTATACACCACAAACAATATGTCAAATTCTAACACTACATCGTAATTTAACTTGGTGTGACACAATATCAGTTTTCTATTTCATTCTATTTATTACGAATAGTTATACGTAATTATCTTTTAAGTAACCTGAATATATCAATGTATAAAAGTTAAACTCATATAACTAAGCTAGATCAAAACAATGCTGAGATATCTGATAACTTATTTTGTTAGTGGTGTCTGTTTGCAGGTATCAGGAAATATAATTGCACCTAACTCAAAATCGGGATGGGATGGACGTGCAACCAATGCATGGCTCATTTTCGAGAATATCGACCATCTTACTGTTAATGGAAATGGAGTTTTTGACGGCCAAGGCCATGTATGGTGGTCTAATCCTTGCTTGGATGATAACAACCCATCCCAAGTAAGCATTAATTAAAGCATATTTTCAAAGGCTTCTATGGTGAAAACTGAAAAGAAACCTTTAGATATCTAGCAAAATGTCTTACATATGGAAATATTTTTTGGCCAGGAAACACAATGCAAAGGACCAACTGTGAGTATACAGTTAATCTATTTCTCAAATTTCCTCTATATATGTGTGCACGTAATGTGATGATCTTCGTATATATATAGGCATTGATTTTCAGACGATGCGACCGACTTCGAGTTTGGGGAGTAACGCTTATTAGAAGCGCTAGAAGTCATATCATATTGACTGCTTGCAATGAAGTTAGCATCGCTAATATTCGTATTATGTCCCCCGGTGACAGTCCCAACACCGATGGGATAGACGTTTCCGCTAGCACAAACGTACGAATACACAACTCTCTCATTGCCACAGGTACATTTTCACTATGAGATTTATTTCTACTCACTAACAATGTAAAAGAATCTTTATAATGTACAACTTTTTTACAATGTCAAGTCACTCAAAATATAACTTATCATAGCTG